GGGGGGGGGGGGGGGGGGCATCTTGTGCCTTCCGAGGCCAGGTTCAGCTTGTTCGGGTGAGTTTGGGATCAGAACTGGTGGAGGCCTCGCCAGCAAACCAGCATTCCCAAAATTGCATTCGTCGTTGGACAAGATGGACATCTCCAGCAGACAAGACGGGCAAGCATGAGGATTGCCCTGTAGTATTGCAGTACCATGAGCTATCCCTCATAGTAGCCCTAGGCCCGAACTTAGATTCCGAGCACCTTGGCACCCGCGGAGCGCTCGCTGCGCTCACTGGCCTGCGCAAGCTTCTCCTGAAGAGCAGCCTGGGATTTGTCTCAAGCAGAGTTCAAGTCTTAGACTTCATGTCAGCATTCTCGTTGATATCATGGGTGTTGCTGCCGATCTCCTGTAAGGGCGGCTGTGATGCTGTCGACAGCACAACTGCGGCTGATGTCCTGTATTCCTGCTGCAGCATGCTTACGGACCCCAGTTGCGCAGCATAGCCTTGCTCGCCAAGACACGAAGCGCTTCTGGAAGTTGCTGCGGAAGTCAACGCCCGTGGCCATGCCAGGCCACCTTGCGCGAGACTCGGCTTTGGCAGAGCTTCATGGGTTCATGGGCTTGGGGCGGCAGGTTCATCGCACAGGGACTTCTCGGCAACTCTGACCAAAACAAAAGGCTAGCTCTGCCCTTGCACGTTGGTAACCCACGGTTCGGACAGCAGGCCAAGGCTTGCACAAGATTTGTTGCACGGGAGGGTTTAAAACGACACAGGTCCAAAAGAAGACTTCCAGAACAAACTGCGATTTACCTTCTTGCCCCGGTGGCATGGTGCTGGTGGTAGGAAAGCAGTCTTCGGACTGCTGGCGTACCATTTACATGAACATTACATCGGCAAAGGGTGCTGAGCACAGCTTCGGATACAAGGTGGCACGCCCGCCTCGAGCGCTACCGTCTGTCCGCACATGTTGGAGCAAGCACCGCTTTCATAGCAGTCTGGCGTAACTCCTCTTTGGGGTTCAACAAGGGCTGCGGGCCTGCATAAATCCAGCAAACTCAGCACAGAAGAAACAATCATGAAAAAGCAAAAAAAAGGCAAGGGAAGCTTCGCCGGTGCAACGTTTCAAAGGTCGTGTCTTGTTCCTGGTGCAGCAGGCACTTACAGCGCCTCGGCTAGACACTTACCCATGTTATACATGGTGCACTCCCGTTTATACCGAAGTCCATGAGCCGAAATGCAACAGTTGGTGCCAATATGTGCCGGAAGATATACCGCCATCAGGAACAAACGAGGTCTGACGTCCCGGCGGTTGGTACTCGACATCGTCGCCATCAGGGCCTTCTGCGCATGAATTCTGCTCCACCAGAACCCAGTTCACTATGCTCACTCTCACGCCGTTGCATGACTTGAGCTCATGTCGTGCACATGTACAAGTGCAAACGACGGCTCAGATGCATGCAATTCGCAAAAGTGAGTTCTTCAACAGCTGCAAGCACTTCGAAATCAATCACGCTACTGGTAGCCGGAAGCCCGCACGCCATCCCTACGAGCATGTGCCTGGCACCATGCAATGGTTTGCAGATTGTCCCGGGGGCTACGGATGGCCCGAAAACGAATCCCAAACAGCATCCAGACCGTCTTGCACAGAAGGCACCCGTAGTCCCATAGCTCCCAAGTCCCACGTCCCTTGTCTGAGGGCCCAGCTGCACTCCGGGGTGTACAAGACTTTCTCTTCAATCTCGGATTGCTTCAAGGGTTGACTGTGTCCAACTAGGCTAACTTCTCACATTCAGGCCTCCTAAACTCGGCTGCAAGGTCTTGGTGCCTAAAGTGTCGCATTTCTGTTGCTTTTGCGCCGCACTGCACAAGCATTGTGTTCTGCATGCGTCTGGATGCAAGTAAAGAAAGTGTATTGGGCGGCGAATTGGCCCAGGCTTACCGACGACAATGATCCTCATACCGATGTTCCCAAGCTATGTTCACCGTTTTGGCACCACGAGATCGAGTGGCAAGTCTCTAGTATGCCACTCACGACTTCAAAACGCAGACCTGAACGAAGTTCGCTGAAGCCCTTACCTGTCACAGGTAAGTCACCTGAAGGTACCATCGCAAACTTGAAACATAAACGGGTTGTCGTAAGCCAATCTCCCTCTGCGAAACCTTAAACACGAAGTTTCAGGGCTTGGCATTTGTGAAAGGCATGAGCTCGGCTTCCATGGTTTTCACCTGGGCCACAATCGAGCTCAAGGCTCAAGAATTCATGCCTGTCGGGGCCTGGCAGAAACTAGGGCTGTGCTCCAGTCATCTCAGATCTTGTGGCAGCGGGCTCACCCTTACAGCGCCAGCTCTGAGCCCCTGGCGATGCTAATACTCTTAGTGGCATCTCGGAGCATGCTCTCGAATTCGTTGAGGAAGTCCTGCCGATTTGCACATCATGACTCCTCAGATCTGGTGCTGCACAGCGCGGATGATGACTTGCTTACTCTGCACAAATAGTGGGGCCACGAGTAGCCTCACCGAGGACTAGACTACCAAGGGAAGCCCGGTCACACGCGTCACGCACATGCCCAGCATGCAGGCGGCAATGCCCGCGTTGCTTCCTGTGGTTCTGGCTCGAGGTAGATTTCGTCATTGTCAGCCTCACTGGTGCAACAACTTGAGCATCACGCAACCGCGGTAGACTGGACAGCGGAACGTGACATCTTCACAAGCAGATAACCAGGAACTCTACCACCGCAGTCCGAAACCCTGTCCCAAAGCCTCCGATTCTCGAAGACACCCGAACCCTACACCTGCAAAGCCCACGACTTATATGGGCTCTCCAACCCCTCAAAAGAGCCACCTCGATGTCAAGATAGATCAACGGTGTGGGCCGCTTCGTCTTTGGATCCGGTACGAAAGTGTTCCTTGCGACTGTGGTTGCAGAATAGGCAGGGGTTGCTACCCTGAACCAACAGGTGGGATGAGGAGAAAGCTGTTGATTCGCGGGTTTGCTCAACTCTTTCCGCCACATAACTAGCGCACCCAAAGCCCTGAAGGGGGGAGTGCTTCTGTCCTTTGCTGAAGCTCCGGGTTAGGGTCGAGCTGCCGCCCCGAAGGCCTTCAGAGAGCTTGACCAACCCCCGAAAATCCCCATCCCCAAGCCCAAAAAGCGGAAGAGTCCAGGATTGGCACCTAGGCCCTAGACCCCCTAGGCAAAAGCTTCGAAGGATTTGAGAAGGGCAAATCGAAGGAGTCGCAGACTCCGTTTCGACTCACACACTCGCACAAGGCAGGCATGGCAATGAGGTTCCGAGCTTGCTACGTGAACATGCTGAACAAAGCGAGCAGAGAGCAAGAACCACCGTAACAGTGAAATAGTCAAAGTAGAAGTACACAGTATCCAAAATCCAAGTGCTCTCGATGCCCCCTGTCCCTTTCAGCACTCACAACTGGGACAAGCCTGGCGAGGTTCCAAGTACAGCGACGATACCCCCTGTCCCTTTAGGGGTTTAGGTACAAGGCCCCGAGGCCTTTATCCTTTAAAGCCGGGCTGCTGCACGGCAAGGCCAATAGACTTAAACTGCAGAATATACAGTGAGCTTAGAAGGCTTAGGATCGGCAACTGAAACGCGCCGAAAGGCAGAAAGTTGCACCAACTCTCCATTGAATTCTGGACAAACCTGGGCCGCACAGAAGCCGTGTGTCCACTTGGCTACATGGGCCCAGGGCAGCTTCGGTCACCCGTAGAAAAACCTTCGCATCGACACAGCACAATGACTCCTCCAACCAAAGCTTACCCTTGCCCTCAAAGGACTCATATTTTAAGGTTTTTCGGCCCAAAGACCCTATTATGGAAGGCTTTTGGGCTATTCTGGTGCTAAGGGTCAAACTGAGGGGCCAAATCCTGAAAGCCAAACTCTGAAAGCCTAGATCATGTCACGCTCTCGCAACTCGGACTCCGCTAGACGAGGTCTCTGTCTCCACTACGGCACATGACGACTAATCCTAGTGGCAATCACTCCTATACCACGCCAAGTCTACACCGCGCCGCTTTGATCATGTAAGGATCCAGAACGACAGACACCCACCTACGCGAAGCCCTGAGTCCGACTAAACTTGCTGCACACCGCCGACTCAAAATGTCTGTTCCATCACACGGTTTTGTGTTTGCAAGACATGACTGGCGGCGCAGCTCTAAGGCAACCACATGCAACATCGAATGCTCGCACATGATCAATACCTGATAGAACTCTTACGTGCACTCTGTCGCGATCACAGCCCTCATGTTGGGTTTCCCTGACACCCATTGTAGTCACTGCAGGCATGCGGCCAGCGAAGCTGCGAGTTGATGATGAGATCCTTCGATCTTTCATCTGCTCTCCGACCCCCCGTACATATGTATACCATATACACACATGCCCACACACACATGCAGACAAACACACACACACACACACACGCAGACACACACACACACACCCACCC